GTACCAGGAATTGGACGTGTGAAGCCAATCAGTGATGCAGTTGATGCCGCGATAAGTGAGACAAGAAATACACGCCACCACCACTCTCGCTTTTGTTTCGCAATCAAAGCGACAATGATAAATACTGGTAATAATGAGCGTACTAAAAATACGGTCGCTAATGCATCACTACGATGATAATTACTGTAGTGGTGATTACCAACGATGTAAAACGGCAGAGGAAAACGCAAAAAAGTGAAAAGGATGGTTCTTCGGAATACTCTTTTGGAAAACTCTGTAACGCAGCAGGAAATGGTCCGGGAGCTGTACAAAGAAGTACTTGGCAACCACGCAGATCTCTTTGTTTTAGCTTAAAAAGGTGTTTTGAAGAAGTTTGAAATGAAATCAAGTGAGAAAAGATGAAAAAAACGTTTTTTAAAAAATTCGAAAACTACATACTTTTTTCATTAAAATGACTCTGTTACTTAAAGTGGTCAGAATTTCGATTTTCTTAAAAGCCTGTTTTGTTGCTCGAGGTATGAGGATGTTTTTTGGAAAAAATCTTACTGAAACACCTTAACCCTAGCGAACACCAGACAAATTATTTGATATAGGCTTTTGGGAAAAAAAAAAGACCACTTCGAAAAAGTTAGCTGCCGTTCCGTCAAGAGTGATGTTGGCCTAACCATCCTATAGTGATTCGGAAAGAGCATCGAAAACTGCACACGGTGATATGTGAACGAGCCTTGGCTAACATTTCTAGAAGAAGTTTAAACAATCATAACTTTGACTGTTAGGAAATGACAAGAAAAAGTTTTCATCACACGTTTTTGTGAAAAAGGAGTTTGAAAATTTTTTTGACAATATAGAAAAATTTGTCTTTCATTACTGTACAAAATCCTAAAATGCGAGATCAAACGGAGCAACTTTTCGTAACCGGCGGGGTCTGTTATCTGAATAAATTAGTATTTATATACCTTCTAGAAATAACATCGAGCTCATCGGGCAGGATTGTACCAGAGAGCTCCCGTTGTAGTTTAGAAACTGTATGACACCAGAATATCTGTGATTTTTATTTTTATAGTTGAAGAGAATAAATTGAAAAGTAAGATACAAAAAGCACATTAATAGTTATCGTCATTTGGTTTCAAATGCTGATTTTCATAATCAATTAATACTGAGTTTTCAAATTCTTTTATTTCACTCATTGAATAACCACATGAATCAATCGAATGAAAATGTTCATTCAATTCTTCAATTGCATATTCACCCAGTTGTTCATAGACATTGTGTAATAAAGAAAGTGTACGATATCGATGAAAATACTCTAAACAATCAGAGTCATCATCTGGCCAACGATTATCAACTTCATGTATATTATTAAAATACATTGGACAGCGCTTAGAATTTGTTTGCCAATCAATATTATGTGAACTAAGTGTCCCCTCATCTCCGTCACAATCTTCTTCGCTCTGACCACAAATGTAACACCATAGTTCAGCACACACCTCACATACCATATGAGTACAAGCATTATCCTTTACACCAGCTAAACCACACTTCTTACACTTTTGTTTTGAACCCTGTTCGATGGCGTCATCGATTAGATGTTTAGAATATTTTAATTCTAAGCACTTTCTATGCCATGAAAGGTCATCGTCTGATGTTGTTGATTCATGTAAACATATCATACAAGATATTTTACTGCAATTCTCGTGTTGACAGTAGAGTAAGATATCATCATTACAGTTTGAATGTATTTCAATATAGTTACAAAATAGGATTATTCACATAGAGACGTCCAATTTTATCTTCGAAAAGAGATGAAGGAAGGGAACAACCTGAGCAATTTTAAAGATGTTTTTTTATTATTACATTTTCTTAGAGGGACTAACTCAGAAATCGATGTTTTTAGTTGTTCACATAAAATCGTACTTGGAGTTAATTTTAAAACTTTTCTTTACGACTATTTGACAGAACATTACGTTATGCTATTGGCGATCGGAATATATAGAATTTGGATGGATACTTCCTTCTGTCTTAAATATGTGGTAGACTTTTTTATACAAAACGGGTACAGCTATAGTTACGAGAAGGTGTTTTTCGTATTAACGATAGTGTCCCATATTTTTCGCAGTAAATGTTAGAGAAATACAACCGAGTTGGTTAGATGTACATCAGATTGATCAACAGACAGCATTATTTTATTACAAAAATAACAGAAGCGTTATTCGACACATAAAAAAATAACATAATTATCATAATTTATCTTGGAGTGAATTATAACAGAAAAAAACAGAATAAGCGATACGCTAAGTGTTTTGCTTATGAAATCCGATTCACTAAAAGGACTTTAATTATTTTTGTTTATGTAGAAATGCTTATTCACTTATGAAAAAATCAAGCTTTTACTGCCAGTGGCTACCAAGATATGGGCCGAACAACAAAAACACACGATTTTAGTACCACCTACGGGAAGAAACGTCTTCTTTTCCTAAATATTGGAATCTGTCTTTTTTTGTAGCCTTAATTGTGGGCTGTCAGAATACTCCATCTTTTTGTCAGAATCAAAAAGATGGAGCATAAGCAACTTAACAATTTGGCAGAAAAGAATATTTTTTAACTTTTTCAGTCAAAGAAAAATCGCCTCCAAATAGTACGCAGAATGTTGTTCTCATACAAAATGTCTGTCAAGGTTTCGAAACTTGTTTCAATTATAACTCTGACTCTGATGAACCATTCGAAGCCAAACTTTGACTCTTTTTTTGTTCCATACGATGAGTATGCGGGGGAAAAATGAGCTCATTGGGTTGCTTTCTCAGGAAGAAAATGCCATTTTACTGTGAAAATGTTCGGCGAGATTTATTTTGCTGATAGTTTGCAGAAAATCTAACATAAACGGCACTCATAACCGTTCTCATAACCGCATTTCACAGTTAGAAATGCTGTGAAATAAAAACTAAAAACTCACAAGTTTTTCGGTATTTTCCCTTTAACTCAGTAAAGAAAGGTCTAAAATAAAATTCCAAAATTTTACTTCTGCGCTATGACCTTGAGTACTTCTAGTAAAATTTTAACGAGATCGGATGAAATTTAAGGGAGCTTGTAATGTGGCGCAATAGAAAACCCAGTTTTCTGAAAACTCGTGAATGGCAGTGGTTAAAAACTTGAAACAAAGGCGAAAAAATGCTCCATTGAGTTTCCAATCAGTTCTGAAAATATGAAGGATAATAAATATGAATAAACTGTATAAAGAAAAAGTTCCATCGATTCCTGTACAACAGTCTATGTTTTTTCTTTAAAAATAAACTTTTTTTCTCTTTTTCACGCAAAACTAGTGGGACCGTGTTTCAGAAGGAAAGCGTTGAATTTTTGTCCTTCCTTGTAGTAAGAGAAAACATTGTATTCATAGAACAACATATCTCTGTCGATCGCACTACTCTCGCAGATTTCTCTTATTTGCAACTTTCTTTTATTTACTTTTTTTCCTCACACTGTACGATGGCTGTGCAATTCACTCATATTTACACGTTTACTGTTTTGCAGCTAAAAATGTCTTATGATATGAGTTAAACGACTTTTGTTTTTATAACAAATAATGCTACTTGTTGATCTGTTACAAATTATTTTATTATTCTTGAACGTATCAGTAATAGCAAAAGCAACGCACACATTTCAAATATAATGTGATTTTTGACCCGAAAGCTCAAGTTTATTTTCCGTTCTTGAAATAGAAAGAGAGGAAATTTTGCGAGTATAAAATGTTCATTTTGATTTAAACAATCTGTCGACCAGAACAGTGTCACCATCAATGATTGATATTGTTCAAACTGTGTTTCTAACTGTTTTTCAATGAGCGATTTGTCAAAAGGTAGAGCACAAACA